ATTATCGAAAAATAAATATTTACGTTGAATATTCAATATATCTCACTATAAATAATGAAATCACTATAAATAATGAAATACGAAATTATTTCTAATATCATTTTTTACGTTATCATAAACGGTTTTATAAAGTTTTTTGTCATAGGTTTAATATACTGCAATTTAATTTACAAAAAAATCTTAATTAATTTATTCAAATTTCAAACGAAAATTCCCACTGTATAATTATTAGTAAAAGAATGAATATATATATGTAATAATAATACATGTATATATAAGCTAGTGTGTTCGACTGGACACACTCTCTCAGACTTATACACTAATTTAAAAACTCCTATCCCTACTTTCCGCACGTCAAACGTCGTATATGTCATTGATTGTAATGATTGTTCAATGCTAAAATTTAAATAATTAAAAGACAATAATTATAGTTGTGAGAATGTGTAGATATATCAGTATTACTTAAAAATAAAAAATACAATATGACATGATTGAAAATCTCACAAATGTATTCTCTACAGAAAGTAAGAATGCGAAAATAACTTTTATCTCATTTCATTGAAGAAAACAACTCCAAATTTGACAATGAAAAAGTTAATTATTAAAAGAGTAATGCATTTTTTTTGGATGGTGATGGTTTACACTACACATGAAATTATATCTCGAGCTATCATTGTAACGGATGGCAAAGTTAAGATGGAAATTGATAATCGGATAATAGATTTTGGATGCTACTTTGTATGGCACAGATCTTAACCCCATGCTTTTTCAAATGCATTAAAATATATTGAATAGAAGCACAAGACCTGAAAGCATAGAAGCAGAAATTTTGAAAGAAAAATTCATAAAAGTGAATAAAAAATGATTAGTGTTAATAAAACTGTAATGAAAATAATAAACAGAGGAGCAAAAGGAAATCATTGATTTGTTGTGCTCTCATATACGATGGACCTGTTTTCGGCCAAACTACTATTAATTATCATTATATTGAATTTGAAATATTGGGAACAGTAACAAATATTAAAACTTTAACATTGATGAAATTTGTGCACGCTATACAAAAAAGGCAGATAAACTATTTTAAATACATTTAGATAATTCTTTTCTGTGATTTTTGTTATTAATTATATTTCATGTTAAATTTGTTCAATTATTAGTTACATATAATTAATATTATCACTAACTTAATTTCAAAAATAATTCATCAAAATTATTGTAACATAAATAGTAACAATATTGTAATTTTTGTAAAATTATGATTTTGAATTGGAATATATTAATACATATAACCTTATTATTTTATAATGTCTATTTATTTGTGGTATTACAAAGCGTAGAGTATTATAATTATTAATATTAAACATTCTTAAATAAGCAAATGGTTATTGCATCCTACAACGTCGTCTTCTCATAATACCACACCCGTCCGGGTGGTTTCATAATAACACACCCACCAGTGTGTTAGTCAAAACACACTCGACCGGTGTGTTAGTCAAAACACACCCGACCGGTGTGTTAGTCAAAACACGCCAAAAAGTAGATCAAAAGTGACTACATACAAATATCACCCCTTTTCGTGTTATTGTACGCGACATACGTTTGCAGTGAGATGGTACAATTTTCAAGAAGTATATATATAAAGTAAATACTATTTAAATTGTAATATTTATTTATACTGTGGTATTTAATGAAGATATTCAAATGAACAAACATTTATTCATTCAGGGGTCGCCAATGTATCTAGAAATAAACAATGGTATCAAAATTACTGGAGATTTACTAGTAGATTTACTCACCTCACAACGAGAGCTAAATAGCCATATTCTCTAATCTGTATAATTGGTCGAGAGATTCAGGAGAGATCATCAAATTTCAAAATTTTCATTTCACATTTTGAATCAGACACAATTTCTGTTAGAATAGTCGTTACCATAAAATTATGCAGAATTAGAACAAAACCATTTCTCACTCTTTGTATATAAATTAAATATTTGTGGTAATAAATGAATTAAATTATAATTTATAATTAATTAATTTGAAACTAATTGAAAATTCGTAATTCATTTTTTTTTTACTAACAATCTAAAACAATTTCTCACTTTGTATATAAATTAAATATTTATGTTTCTTGAATATAAATTACTGAAAAAAATGTAAATTGAAGAAAATTAGTAATTTGAAACTAATTGAAGGTTATAATTTGAAATTCGTATCGTTGCAGCTCGTCAATGAGAAATTTTTACAAGTCAAGTTTTTTCTACTAATACAATAATCTTAACAAAATTTTTCACTCTTTGTAAATAAATCAAATATTCGTGTTTCTTGAATATAGTACTTACTGAAAAAAAAATGAAGTAAATTAATGATTTTAAACTAAATTAAATTATTAATTGAAAATCCGTATTGTTTCTCCTCGTCAATGAGAAATTTTACAAGCCAAGTTTTTTTTTTTACTAACACAATAATCTGAAACAATTATTCTCACTCTGTATATAAATTAAATATTCATGTTTCTTGAATAGTAATTACTGGAAAAAAATGTAAGTTGAAGTAAATTAATTCGAAACTAATTGAAGTCAATAATTAAAATTTTATATCATTTTCATCGTCAATGAAAAATTTTACAAGCCAAGTTTTTTTTTTTTACTAACAATCTGAAACAATTTCTCATTCTAAATATAAATTAAATATTTATGTTTCTTGAATATAGTAATTACTGAAAAAAAGCAGAAAAAAGATTATAAAGAGTACCGAAAAAAACAATTGTAATAGATTTTGATCCTAAAATTTTAGGATTCGGACAGTGCTAATGCACAAAAAATAATCCTGTCCTGTGGATTTAATTGTTTTTTAAACGTGATTATTAATAATTTTATCATAACTAGGATAGCATCAATCATTATTGTACATTAATAAATGAGTTCATTGTTCTATTAATGTTTAAAAAGTTATTGTGAATTTCTATTCATACACAAGAAAGCAAAAAATTTATAAGACGAAACATGTTATTTTCCTTTCAATTGAGGAAAAATTCCTGGTACTTAAATACTTTCAATATATTACCAGTAAAATATAGAAAGCAATCTTCATGATCAGCAATTGTTTAAAATGTTCACCTTATGACAATTTCTCAAAAATTAAGAAATTGAATTAAAATGTTATAATCATAATTTTACCTCATGTAAAATTAACCACTCAACATATTAATTTTTTGGAGAAAAATATATTATGTTGAGTGGTTAACTTAATCGGCATTGATGTATATTTCATCAGTTTATGATACCAAAAATAAAGAAAGTAATCTTCATGATCAGTAATTGTTTTAAATGTTCACTTTATGACAATTTATTAAAAATCAAGAAATTGAATTAAAATGTTATAATCATAATTTTACCTCATGTAGAATTCAACCACTCAACATACTAAGTTTTTGGAGAAAAAGATATATTATGCTGAGTGGTTAACTCGATTGGCATATGTTTCCATTGATGTATATTTCATCAGTCTATGATACCAAAAAACAGAAAGTAATCTTGATCAGCAATTGTTTGAAATTGAAATCCCAATATGCAATTTTATACGTACTATGTTTAGTATGCATACATATTTTGTATGATCGATCCCTCATATCAGACACTTCTATCTGATAGAAAAATGATCTAAGAAAAACAATCCCAAATTGTAATCTAGGGAGTAGTAATAATATACCCTATTTTCAATTTTTACTATTGGCTTGGTTTTCAATGATATGCATTAAATTGATGAATTAAATAATCGTGTGTAAATATAAATGGTCAAAATCTAATTTGAATGAACTAGAAATGAAATATGATAAACACCACTGTTTGATGTAGATGCAGAAACACCCCTTTTCACAAAGTTATCATTGATCCCTTTTGTAGTTTCTGTTGTAAATATAGTTATAGTACAAATAAATGAATAAATAAATAGCTATAACAAAAATTTATAAATTGCTCTAGTACAACAACTAGATGTTAAAAATGCTCGGAATACGACGATGACTAAAATAATACTGTTGAAAGTGCTTCAATTTCTGAAATCGAAATTACTATATTGTATTGATAAATACCTTTTTTCACCAAGTTACCATACAACTCGTTTGTAGTTTGTTTGTTGTAAATATAGTTATAGCACAAATAAATAACTATAACAAATTTATAAATTGCTTTAGTACAACTAAATGTTGTAAATGCTCGGAATATAACGACTAAAAGAATATACTGAAATTTTTTAAATCGAAGTTACTATATACCGTATAGATAAGTGATAAATAGTTTCCGGATTAAATAATTGTCAAGTGATTTTAATACCTCTAGTTTTTTTTTTACAAGAAAGATCCAGAAAATAATCTTAAATAATCGAAAACAAGGTATTTCATTTGTACAAATGTATGATTTGAAAACCAAATTTGAATTTATATTCAATTAAGTGATTGAATATATGAAATATGTAAAACCATAAAAATTCGGAATTTTCCAAAATTAATTACTTCGAGCATCGAAATTCGACTCCCACAACGCGACTAAACAAAACTCAATAAATAAAATGTGAAATAAATAATACATAATGCAGATGCAATAAAATAAGTTTATAAAGATAAACGTAAATATATATGAAACACATGTTGTTTTAAACAACACACATTCACAATTGAGAACGAATGAATCATTTCGATTGAGATTGCATCCAGGGCATCACACAAACTACTATTTAATATTTTAATTATTATGCTCTCTGTATCTACTATTAGTGCATCATTTTACAAGTGCATTATATTTTTTAGTAAAACCTTCATAATAGTAATATAGCTTGGAAAACATAAATGTTACTTTATTTTTATATACACGGTGAATTTGTTGGAAAAATGGACTATATAATAAAAATATATTTCTTCAAGCCGATCCCCGACCATCAAAAGCCTGAGATCGGCTCTGATCGAAGGTTGGTTTGAATTAAAAAATATATTTCTATTATATAGTCTAAGAGAAAAATACTCTCATAACTCCTGTGTATGGCCTTTGGCAAACTGGGCATGCTTTTACTGACAGCGAACACTTTATACAGGACACGACATGGCCACAAGGAACAAAAACAGCATTCTTTTCTTCCATATAACAAATCTTACACAATTTGTCCTCCGACACTGGAGTTGTGGATGCCATGGTATCGTTCTTTTCCACGACAGGCTCAGGAGTGACACTGTCTGCTTTGGGTTCGGCAACACTCACAATGCTTGGGGTTGTTTCCAAGGCTTGGGCTTCGTTTGCGGTTAGTATGGCAGTCATTGTGGCTGCAACTTTGCTGATGAACTCTTTGCCCTTGATGAGTTGCACGTATACACATGTTGGGAACCATCGTGCGTGCTGTTCCCAAGGAGCATCCTCGGGTTCCCAGTCTTTTAAACCACCACCACAGTGGAAACAGAGGGTACGGTCTTCGTGGCCTGTGTAGAAGAAGCCTGCTTCACTTAGTTCATCTGGGCGTTGCTTTAAACTGCTCGGCCATTGGGAGTAAGATCTTAAGCGTGCTGCTTCAGTGGCGTACTGAGGGTATTCAGGACCCTTGGTGACAGGTAGGCCTAGGTTTTGGTTTTCTGGAACGGCATTGGGACGTATGGTTAAAGGCCCGCATACGTCGTAGCTCGGTCCGGGTCTTGGGGACGTGCTCGGAGGGTCTATTGGCACGTTTCCTACAGGCCTGTTGCGTAGGAATGGACAATTAGGAGCCCAACGTTGATGGTCGATGGAGGGGTCGTCACCTTGTTCCCATCTGTCAATTTCAACTTTGCAGAACTCGCATCTGACCCTGTCGTCGACTTTCATGTAGTAAAAACCCAATTTGACTAGCACGGAGGGGCTTATGAAGCTCACTGGCCATCTTTCGAATGTTTTCAGTCGGTCCGCTTCGATTTTCATGTCAAGATTTTCATCGTCGCCATTGTCGGGGACATCAATGTCCGCGGATTGACTCCTTTCATCGACAGTTTTTGTAACTGTTTCAGACTTTAGATTGATTATATCGTATACTTCGGGTCTTGTATCGATTGTTGTATTGTTTGGAGGCATTTGTAATGCGTTTAGAGACTGTTTTGATGCACTTTTATTGTTAAAAACATCGAACACTGCGCGTGACGCAATAACTTTGTTACACTTTAGCCTTGTTTATTTATATTATAATGGGCTTTGCTCATAGACCTTATACAATACATGGACTGCTAGTTGAGCGCATAAAAAGTGTCAAAAGATGTTCTATGGTATGAGAGCATACGAGGGTAATTTTGCGGCCGAGATATGTCAAATACGAACACGAGCTTTACCGAGATTAGTCGAATGCACTCGATCGCTTAAATTTTACAGTTACTTGGGTTCACGAGATGTTTGATCGCTCGGGTTTTTAAACTAAAAGAGGTTAAAAATATACCTGTTGTAAAATTGTTAAAAGTAAAATGTCTTCTAAAATGTGTTTGGTCTGTGGTAAAGTTCCTGATTGCAGTAAAACCTGTTCTGAATGCTTCGCAAGTATTCCGGGAAATTCGACATTCATATATAAAAAATCGAGGATATCTTTCATATCCTTCCAATGCAATGTTTAAATTATGTTTATATATAGAAACCCTAATCCGAAATTCTTTACATTTAATGTACAAAAGTTCATATGAAAGCACGATTCTCCGAAAGTTGAATGACTTGGGACTTGCACATTTTTTTAGATCAAGCCGTTTCCAGCAATTTGTCCAGCACTATCATGACCTTATCAACTTTGTCGCAAAAATGTATTTAACAATTAGAATGCACCATGAAGAACATAAAAAAAGCAAAGTTGATAAATATGTACGCCACTTTCACACAAAAATTGTGCTTTTTAAACACCAATAATAAATATATCACATTTAAACAAATATTTCATTATTGCTTTTTAATTTCCCATAATAGCTCTAGCCAACTGTTCTTATTTTCAGTGAATTTTATAATACGTAAAATATTTTTTTAATTTTTTTTTATTTTTCTTAAACACTTTGTATAACTAAAATAAATAAATAAATATATAAATAATTCATTACATTCATTAGTTTAACATAAATTGTATATTATATAATATTTTCCCAACAATTTCGAACACACGGACTTTCATTTGACGTTCAAGTGATCGAGTTTGACATATCTCGGCCGCAAAATTACCCTCGTTTGCCCTCATACCATAGAACATCTTTTGACACTTTTTTACTTGAGAAATGTATGGGGATTAGCAGTCCATGAAATTGTATAAGGTCTATGTACGATAGCGATACGGTGGAGGGTTGTTTTACGGTAGAACGAGGGATGAATCTACCCGTTCCGCCGACACCGCTCTGTTGCTCGTCGGAAAAAAATTAACGGAAACATTCTGCCACACCACACCCCTCAGCTCACTCTCTCACCTTTAAATGTGATATTGGAGTGAAAAAGGACTCTACTGACGAACAAATTTAATGCAGAATGTTCCAATAAAAGTGCAAGAAATGGAGAAGTTATTTAAAAAAAAAGACTCTACTGACGAGCAAATTAAATTGCTATTAGAGGTAAAAAGGGACTCTACCGACGAGCAAATTCATTTTAGAAAATTATAATATTAAAAAGGGACTCTACTGACGAGCAAACATATTTTTCGTCAATCTAGAATATTAAAAAAGGACTCTACTGACAAGCAACTTAGAAAATTTTAATACTAAAAAGGGACTCTACTGATGATATGATGACTATGATTTTGAAATAATAACGAAATTATTATCATGTTGTTATTCTTCACAAAAAGAACTCTACTGACAAGCAAAGTAAATACAGATTTTAATTTGCTATAAGGATAATTTTATAAAAGGGACTCTACTGACGAGCAATTTCGGAAATTTTTTGGAATTAAAACTACCGACAAACAATTTTTTACATTTTTTTTTTTAAAAAAAGGGACTCTACTGACGAGCAAATAAACACAAAGGGACTCTACTGAAGAGCAAATCAAAAATTATAATATTAAAAAGGGAGTCTACTAGCAAGCAAATCAAAAAGAAAAGTAAAACATAAAATGAAAATCTACTAAATATCAAAGTATGATATAAAAACGGACTCTACTTATTAAATATCGAATTGTTTGATAAAAGTGAAAAAAATATAAAAACTGTTATTTTTACAAGAAAAGGACTCTACTGACGAGCAAAATAAATTATCATTTGGAACAAATTAATTTTTTGAATATGTAAAATCAGTTTGCTCGTCAGTAGAGTCCTTTTGTTATAACATGCCTTTAATAGTTTCTTTTCTTAAAATTTATAATCGGTTTGCTCGTCAGTAGAGTTCATTTCTCTATTGTGACGTCATAGTATTATTTTATTTGGAATCTAGATTTAGTTTGCCCAACAGTATAGTTTTTAGGGGACTCTACTGACAGCCCAATTAATTTTAATTTTGAATAAAAATTTTGTAAAAATTATTTAAAACAAAAGGACGGTACTGAAGTGCAAATTTAGCTCGTCAGTAGAGTCCTTTTTATCATTAATATTTATTTGCTTGAAATAAGATAAATAATTCTGTGAATCGTGCATTTGCTCGTCAGTAGAGTCGCCTTTTTTCTTGACATTTTCATTTGCTCGTCAGAAGCAAATACTTTTAATACTAATATTTATATTTGTTCGTCCGTAGAGTTCCTTTTTATCAACTTGACAGTAGAGTTCCTTTTATACATACTAGTACTAAACTATATACATATGAATAATTGTTCTTTTTATACCGATTTGTTCGTCAGTAGAGTCCTTTTTTTAATATTTTTGCTTGTTAGTAGATTTCCTTATTAACTTAAAATTTCTATTTACCTGTCAGTAGAATCACTTCTTCTTTTCAATCATTTTCTAAAGCTCAAGTTGAAATTCCCCGTCAAACAAAAACATAAAATCCAGTTTAATTTGCTCGTCAGTAGAGTTTTTTTAGAAATTTGTGAAAATTATTAAAAAAAATCGAAAAAGAAACCTTCTAGGCACAGTCTAAGTGACAACTTGGTACAAATATATTTGTAAGTGCGTTTAGAATGTGACTTCACTTTTTTTTCTAATTTTGTGAAAATTTAGTAAAAATGTAATGTAATTTTGGGTTAAAAAAATTCGAAAAAATACCCAAGTTAAGCACAGTCTAAGTGACAACATGGTACAAATATATTTACAACGACGTTTAGATTGTGACTTTACTGGAGCACTTTTCCAATTTGGTATAAAATTAGTAGAAATGTAATTTTGGGTTAAAAAATTCAAAAAATTACCCTGACTAAGCACAGTCTCACTGACAACCTCAAACAAATATATTAGCAAGGGCGTTTAGAATGTGACTTTACTGGAGCACTTTTCCAATTTAGGGGTAGATACATTCAAATTGAAATTTTCTTTTCTTATTTATAATTGCTCGTCAGTAGAATCCCTTTTACATTGACATTTTATTTAATATTTTAGAACATTTTAATATGGAAACGGATATAATATGGAAAAAAGGACTGTACTGCCGATTAGAGTTAATTGGAAAATTATGATATGAAAAGGGACTCTACTAACGAGCAAATTTATTATCGATTATTGAGATAAAAAGGGACTCTACTGACGAGTAAATTAATTTTAGAAAATTATAATATTAAAAAAGGAGTCTACTGACGAGCAAATTGATTTTAGAAGATTGTAATATTGAAAAGGGACTCTACTGACGAGCAAATTAATTTTAGAAAATTATAATATTAAAAAAGGACTCTACTGACGAACAAACTAATTTTAGAAAATTATAATATTAAAAAGGGAGTCTACTGACGAGCAAATTGATTTTAGAAGATTGTAATATTGAAAAGGGACTCTACTGACGAGCAATTAATTTTAGAAAATTATAATATTAAAAAAGGACTC